ACCTTAAAATTCTTCTTATTCTGAAGCAGAGCCGTGATTGCCAGAAAGATTAATGCATTTGTAAACAAGTTGCCATGTGACAGAAGGGCTGTTAATTTATTTATAACTTTCCAAACTCCATTCAAAGGTATGTATTGCTTCTCTCTATTTCTGGAACATTTTGTTCCAGGGATCAGCTTTGTGGAGTAGTTCCCAACTGGCAGTTGTCATAAGTAGTGTGACACTTGTGTGAGTTGGTTGTTTCTTAGATGTCTTTTTAGTTTTCTGTACAGCTTAGAATAGGGTAAGCAAGTTTAATTGAGCAGTAATTCCCAATGCAAAAGATACGATCTGTCACTGGGTTTTAACATGCCATACATGTATGTCTCTTAAAAGTGAAGGAGTCTAGAACTATGGTGCATTGTAATTTCTCGCTTTTCATGCAGTTGTACACTAGAAAGCTTCCTCGTAATAAAAGCTGTTGGTCAGCTTGGATGTTGAAGGCCTGCTGGAATGTATTCAGATAACTTGGTCCTTTAAAGAAACTTTCCAAACTTCTCAGCATTGAGAATAAAGAATTCAGTAAAATTAGTGGACTGTTCTAGGTAGATGTGCTGGTTTGGATCCTATTTCATTATTTCATTATTTAACTACTTTCTTGTACTGCATAGTGGCTCATTTTTTTTCTCTTTAGTTTGTAGATTAAAAAATATGTAGTTAAGGAACTTACAAGGAACCCTTTTTGATAGCAAAGACTTGCCTGCACATTTTGCAACTGACACCTATGTTACTACATCATACACTTGGAAATTACAACGAGGTTTCCTATGGGAATAGTAACACTTGGAGTATTCTTTTTAAATGTGTCACAGATACTGCGTCAATGGTAACACAGTTGCATAGCTTAAATGTTCCTGAAAACTTCAGTGCAGGCCCTAAATATCTGTATCATAATGACCTAAGGTGATAATGCTTCATGTTCTGCTTACATCATTACTTTGAAATTGAGTTTTGATCTCTATAGTAAGGTATATTTAGAAAAACACATGGTATTTATGTCCTTGCAGTTCATAATGGAATCATAGAATGGTTTGGGTTGGAAGAGACCTTAAAGATAATCTGGTCCCTGCCAGACATGGGCAGAGCCCCATCCAACCTGGCCCCCCAGGGAGGGGGGCATCCACAACTTCTCTGGGCAACCTGTCTCATCACCCTCACAGTAAAGAATTTATTCCTAAAATCTAGTCTAAATCTACCATCTTGAAACCTATTAATCCTTGTCCTATCACTATGCTCCCTGATAGAGTCCCTCCCCACCTCTCTTGTAGGCCCCCTTTAGGTACTGGCAGGCTGCTATAATGTCTCCCTGGAGCATTCTTTTTTCCAGGCTGAACAGCCCCAGCTCTCAGCCTGGCTTGGTAGAGGAGATGCTCCAGCCCTCTGATCATCTTCGTGGCCCTTCTGTGGACCCAGTCCAATACGTCTGTGCCCTTATGTTGGGGGCCCCAGAGCTGGACACAGTACTCCAGATGGGGTGTCACAAGAGTGGAGTAGAGTGACACCATCACCTCCCTTGACCTGCTAGCCACGCTTGTTCTGATGCAGCCCAGGATGTGGTTGTCCGCATGGACTTTTATGGTTCAAGCAGGGGTGAGATTTTTGTACTGTTTGGAAGACTTGTAACTCCAAGAACTATGAATTTGTACATGTCTCATATCAGAGAATTTGTTGTTGTTAAGCAATATTATATGAATTGTAGAAGCTTACAGTCCTGAAAACAGCCAGAAAGAATGTTACTTAGCACTTAAAATATCTCCTGTTTATCAGAGGCCTACATTTTCCATGATTAGTGAACTACTTGCATCAGAGCTAGCACCTTTTTCTCTGAAGAGAGAGCATGTGTGTTCAGGCCTGTTCTGTATGTGTTTATTGGTTCCTGTAGACAACCTTGTCTGAGCCAGAATTTCTACATGTGAAATAGCTGTCATGGTCTGTTACCAAAAAGATCTTCCATCTTCCCACTTCTACTGCAGTATCTCTGAAAGTGGGCACAACCAGGGATTGCCTCAGAGCAAAGGCTTGTGTTGCCTGTACTAGATGTGATCTGGCCTTGGGGAAATACCCTATTTAACACAGATTTAGTGGCTACTGCCACTGCTGTTCCCCGTGTCACCCACTGAGCGCTGGCACAGGTTGCCCAGAGAGGTTGTGGAGTCTCCATCCTTGAGCTGCAAAAGCCATCTGGTCGTGGACCTGGGGGACCTGCTCTGAGTGGCCCTGCTTGAGCCTGGGGGGTTGGAACAGAGACCCCTTCCCACCTCAGTCATTCTGAGTCTATGAAAAAAGCTTTTTAATATGGAAAAAAAAAAACTGCTGGATTTTGGGTGAACATGGAAGGGATGGCAACAACAGTGTTCATTCTACTTAAAGGGCTCTTCTCTGGTATCAAAGCTGTTTTTTATTTATACTGAGCCTCCATACTGCTGCTTCTATCTGTTCCTCCCTGTAGCAAGTAGCTAAACTTGTGTTAGTCCTACTTTGCAAGACTGATAAAGTACAATTTTAACATACTTGTATATTTTATTTTAAAAGTTGGTTTTGGCTAATAGCCTACGTTTGAAGTAGGTTGTTGCCCTTGGTTAAAAAAAAAAAAAACAACAACCACCAAGGTGGGGGGCGAGGGGCATAAAGCAAATTGTCAGATGAAAAATGCTTTGAAGTAATAGCCATACTAAAAAAAAAAAAGCTGTGAATATATTCTGTGTGCCTAACCCTGCTATTTTGACCTTCAAGATCTCTCATTCAGAATGATTCTGTTAAAATAGACAGTAAATGATAGATAAAATGTGTTTCTTTTATTACTTTAAACATAATATAAATATGTATATATTATATAAACATAAATGTCTCATGGAGTTTCTTTACAGAAACTCAGTTTTCTTTTGTTTGGAATGAAAGGGAATTCAGTTTGTGTTGTCTCTTGGTTTATGTAAACACAAATTCATTATTGCTATATGGAAGATTGTAACTGCTTTGGTGAAGAAGTGCTAACACTTTCCACCCTTTCCCAGCCTTTCCTTCAGGAAACAGTTATGTTTAAATTTCATCATGGACAAGTGAGACACAACTGAAAAATGTTACAGTATTTTCAGGATTTAGATACCAAACTTTTGTAACTAAGTGGTTCATGTAAGAACTCACAATTCTTACATTCTTGTAGGATCTGCTAGCACCTCTGGTCTTCATTGACTGTGATTAATTTACTCGAAGACACTTACACTTTCACACGTCAGGGCAGAATTAGTGAAGGTGAAACAGGCAATGTTTATGTGGCAGGCAGGCTAAGTCTACTTACTGTTTGATTTTAGCCAATACAAATACACTGGTAACAAAACTTACCTTGTCAGGAGGAAAATGCTTTATGCATCTACCATGGACTTGAGCTAGTGGCCACACCAAGAAAAAGTTGCAGAGTTTAGTGGAGCTCCTGGGTAGAGAACCAAGTGTCATGCTAAGAACTTGGGGGTTTCTACTATTCCTTGGTGCATTCCAGCAGACTGTGTGTATTCTGGTACCGTAGTTTACATTAAGATGCGCTTGGACTCTTGGTCAAGTGCATGCGCTAGTGTGTTCTAGTTGTGTTGAAACTATTAAATATATTGCCTGTCTTTAACTTTTTCCACTGCAATGGCTAAGATGAAGTGTTTTCTTAATCTGAAGTAGCTGATGATTCTGGAAGATAAGGATGCTTTCTAAAGACTGAACATGTTGAAACTTGTGCCAGTGTTCTTGCTCAATGACAATCTAGATCAAGTTCTCCTTGAGCTCGAGAAGACCTTACATTAAGAAAAATGCAGTAACTGAGAAGAGAAAGTTCTCTGTACACTTATTTTGTAGGAAGGGCTGAAGGGTAGCTTGTATTTGATAAATATTTTGTTCTTGCTTTTCATGGTTTTAAATCAAGCTAATTTCCTATAGTTCTGCAGATAACTATCTTGCTGCATATAGGGTTTTTTTCAGCATTAATATTAGTGTATCTTAATTGTGTTCTATGTTATCTTTGAATTATGCTAAAGCTTCTGTTATTACTAAATATAAGGATTAAATGTTTTTTCTAACTACCGTCAGGTGCTAGATAGCACTTCTGAAAGACATGAGCATGGGAAGCTCGATGTCTGCAAAAACGCGTATTTATTTTTCAGGACTGTTTTTAAGTGCTGAGATTTTTATGGAATACTTTTGTGTGAGAACTGTCTAATTTATGTAGGATCTCTGAAGTTTTTCACCAGTGCATATGAAGATGACTCTTGCATCCTGTAGCTGTTTGACAAGCATTATTTGTCAAGTACGGAGGAAATTGATTAACTGTGGAGCCGAATTGTGTAAAATTGAATTCAGAACCACTTTCTGTTTTTTCATAATAAAATGATTACTGAAAGAATTCCATCTGAAGACTGTTGAAAGCTGGCTGCAGTTTATGATATAACGGATAAAATCTGCATCCTTGGCCTTCCAACAACCTTTACACCAGCAGATGGTGGGCGTAAAGATGTCATTCATCATTTATTTACAATGGGCTTTATTTATTCTAGTGTCAACAGCTGCCCCAGGGAGCGGGTTATTGAATTCAAATGTGAAGCTCTGGGTTATTTGCTTCCTTTCAAATTTGTCTTCAGAGCTTAGTTGCTAGGAGTCCATTCTGTGCTCTAATAATGATTCATGTATTGTGAAGCCATTCAGTAAATTGGGTTGTCAGGGATTGCCAACAAAGGTTTAGAGGTCTTGTTCCGATTTTTTTTATTTTTTTTTTTTGACAGTGCTGTGCTGTAGTTGGTGTCTTCTCCATATGTGCCTTCTCTTGCTGGTGTTGGAAACTTTGTCCACAGTTGTCCCCTCTCTGGTTTCCCCTCCATACTCATCCTTGTCCCCATCCTCTCAAAAGTAGGATTTTATGATTTTGTGGTTTTGAGCACCACAAAGTAAATTTGAGATATGAAATAATGAAACTTTGTTTTCTCCAGGCAGGGCAGGAGTCCTTCCGTTCCATTACACGGTCATACTACAGAGGGGCAGCAGGGGCTTTACTAGTCTATGACATTACAAGGTGAGAATACCAAGGTGGTATAACTGGATTAAAAATATATGTCTGTGTAGAATTGTGTTATGGTATATAGCAGTGTTAAAATGTCTAATTTAGTTCGGCTTTTTATATAGATATTTGTAATCTAATGTTTTGCCAACTTTCCTTAAGTGCTCAGAATCAAGATATAGCCTATGTAACCTATATACTTCCAATGTTCTTAGTATAGTAGTTGAGAAGAAGTGTATGTAAAGTCTCGGGAAGAATGAAACAAACTGTTTTTATAAACTATTTGACCATGAACCTCTGGATTACCTTTATTGTGAAAAGAATTAATGAAATATGTTAAGGTCTTTCTAGTGTTTTTATTACCATGAGCTGTAATTTTTCTTTACCTATAGCAGATTTTTTTTAACTGAAGTGCCATTCTGCAAAGGAGTGGAGTAGTAAAACATCAAAGTCTGGTTACATAAAAATACCAGGAAACTCCTGCCATTGCTATGTTTATGAGATTGGGAAAATACAGGTCTTAATGTGATTTTTCTAGCAGCTGTTCCAAAGTGACTAAGATCTTCCTGATGTATTGAATAAAGTCTGTATAGAACTTGGGTATTGTGGCTGGTTTATGAAAATGTTCAGGCTCAAAGATCCTATTGGGGTGTATGGCTCCCTTTGTGGATCTTGGATCTTGCTGCTGAATTAAGCAACAACTTTTATTAGAGATTTCCTAGACTTCATTACTCAAGAAGCTGACTAACAAAAGGGAAAGGGATTTCTTGAAATATTACTTTTAATTTTCGTTCTCCTCCATTCTTAGGAGGGACACTTTCAACCACTTGACAACTTGGTTAGAAGATGCTCGTCAGCATTCCAATTCCAACATGGTTATAATGCTTATTGGAAATAAAAGGTAAAATTTAACCAGTTACGATTTTGTAAGTAGTAAAGATTTATTACTTCTCTGGATTTCAGCTTTTGTGTTTTCTTATTTGTAGGGAGTATGTTAACTTCAGTCACTGACATAGTTCTATGGTGAATCTAAAACCTTCTTTGTCTAATTAGACCAATACAATATGCAGCACATGTGAATCAACTACCTCATGTTTCAAGTACCATTTTTAGAAGAAGTTTTATTTTAAAAGGATTGACTGTGAATGCATAGTCATGGATTATATGAATTATTTTTCTTATTACCTTGTTACATCTGGAGACACCACTTAGAAGCACCTAGATCTCTCCCTTATAAAGAGAATATGACTCCTAATTTTATTTTTATTCTGAAGTGCTTTAGGTTTTGGTTAAGAATCACAACAGGGGAAATGTCATTAAAAAGAAAGAAGCCCATACTACAGGATTGACTTCGAAAACTGTTCTCAAATGTAAAAAGTGCTGCATACCTCAAACATATCAATGAGTACATTAAGCTTACCTGTAATTTTTCTAGTTCTTGATCCAGGGAACTCTGTAGCATTATGTCTAGATTTTTTTTTTTTTGCTGGATGTAGGGTTTTTCCAAATACCGAAAACATCATCTCAGAATTTAGTAACTCATTAGTTATGGGCCTTTACCTAATTGACCTTAACTTGTCTCCATGCCCCAGCAATTCTTGAAGGTGAAGATGCCACTTGAAATAATGGTGTGTATGCTTGTGCCTTAAAATTTAATGAACAGCCAGATCATTTTTTAGAGAAACAGCCTTGTGGTAGAGAGTCTGGCTGACTGCTCTGGCCTGTTCACCTCTTATTTTCTTCTTTTTATTATTTTCTTCTCCCTTTTATTTTCTCTTTTTCCTCCCCCTGAAAAACATGTGAAGCATTAAGTATTTGTGAGGCTTGCCCGCATTTTTATACATAATATAGAAAATGACGAATGACACTAACTGAGGAATGCGGTAAGCATGATCTTAACAAATAAGCCTGTGATGTCCCTCACCAACTGTTTTTATTCTTACCTGAGGGAAAAATATGGCACTCAGAGAAACAAAGTGTGCTATTTACTTGAGATAAGTATTACATGAGTTTGCATACTTAGTTGATATCTGTAACTATTCCTGATTATCCCTAGCTGTTAAACTAAACTTCTGTCTTGCATTCTACTGATGCAAACTGTACCAAATGGTTGTATGTTATAACATGCTACTTGCAGCTAGCTCAGTAATTCCCAGGTACAGCTAGGTTTTATTCAAACAGTAAATATACTTAAATTACTTATTTTAAGTTTCAGATTAAGGTGCCACATGAAGTAAAAGTTTATTTAAGCTTTAAGAAGCCTTTTAAAGGGGATTCTTTTCAAGCCTCCAAGAGGAGGAAGGGAAGAAAACTCCTGTGATTATATTGCATTATCCTGAAAGTGTTACAGGAGTTCTAAGGTCATCTTAGCTATCTTACTAGAGATGGATGGAAGGAAGAACACGTATATTAGCATAATATTTTTTAAGGAATAAATTTTGTTCGTATGAGTCCCAAAAGTGCACTTGATAAATGTTTCTAGTACTGACTTACTGGTGGATTTGAAGAGTGTTGAGAATTTAATCTTGAAATATAATAGCTGTTTTTTGAGAATATTACAAGTACTAGTGTTAAAACATTACAAATACTGTACTTAATCTTCTTTCCAGAACAAAGCATAGCTATATTGCTCTAGTAAGACCAAATGCTTCGAATTATTGGAATGGAGAGAGGAAGACAACTGTGGTTAGTAGAAGCAGTTAAAGCTCTTTAAGAATATCTTTAGATAATCAGTAGTGAGTTTTGACTGGGTTATCACTGCAGTTTTCAATGCAGCTGCACGATTTCAAATCAAAAGAGTTGTTTATTTCTGTTCTGTCATGGAGATAACACTGTAGTGAATCAAGGTTTTAAATAACATATTTTTGAGGGTAGCATGGTTATAGCAAATAAAGGCATTGGTCAAGTTCAAAAATACAATGTCAGCTACTTCAGGGCCATGAGAATGAATATCTTGTTAAGGTATCCTCAGCCTGAAGCTGAGATACTGGGAACACTTACATATAATGAACATCATTTTTGAGAAGATTTCTTGTATCCTTACCTTCAAATGCTTTATGTTTAAATGATGTGCTAAATTGTCTTGACTCCTGTAACTTATCTGAGATAGCATGTAGTTGTAAAAATAACCTTTGCTGCAAAATAGATGGCACAGTGAGTATCGTTTATTTTTAATACATGTATAACTACGAGGATAGCAGCACTGAAGCCCAGTATAACTTTTACTTGTATTCTGGCTACAAATTAAATCTCTGTATTTGCATGCTGTTTAGTTTAAAAATGTGTATCTGAGAAGATACTTTTACATGTACAACTCAACATATCTAAAGAAAGTTTCATTTATATTTATTATTTACGTATAAATGTAGCATTGTTGTAGCACAAGATGTAATATACTTATAAAGAGGGACAGACTCTGTACTCCTTGTTCCTAAAGAAGCTTTAAAAAGTAAGAGTGAAATACTTGTCTCTCTTTGACTTACGTAAGTGGATTTGTCTTTAGTTGCCCAGTCCAAGAGGGGGTTCTTTTCTGTTTTGTGTAATACTTAACTTTCATCTAAGCTGCTTGGAAAGCAGGAAACGAGAAATTGTGTAACAGTCACTTCAAATTCTCCTGCTGTTAGAGAGCCAGGCCTGAAGTTTCAAAACTTAATACTAGCTAATATAGTTCAAAATAACTTGTTTTTGCTTTTAAGTCTTTTTATCAAAACAGAAATTGACTCTGTGAAGTTCTGTTACTGACTATAAAAATTACCTTTTTTTTTAATTGTTATTTTTAATCTCATTAAGAAGTCACTTATAAATCAGTTCCGCTTTATAGTGTGGATGGGTAGATAACATCATTCTAAAAAAAAAAAAGATATTTACCTAGAATGACAATATCTGAAGTTAGCATTCAAGGAATAGCTAGATAAATATACATGCATCCTATTGAAAGCTGTTTCATGAAGTCTTTGATAAGATCTATGTCGGCTAGGATTGATAGCTCAAGCAAGTGTGATGTCTATGGCTACTCCATGTACTGTAAGTGCAAGGCTTAAAATAATTCTACTTTATGTAAGGGCTTGAGTAGATACTCACATATACTTAAGTTCTAATGCGGGGTCTTGGCTTATAAGCGTGTCTCTGAAGAATAATACTTACGTGGACATGTTAGACTATGCAGCTAATGTTTTGTTTTTTTACCATCTTAGTGATTTAGAATCTAGACGAGAAGTCAAGAAAGAGGAAGGTGAAGCATTTGCACGAGAGCACGGACTTATCTTTATGGAGACATCTGCCAAAACTGCTTCCAATGTAGAGGAGGTAACTTTGCTGAATACTGGCATTTTATTAGAACAGTTGTTTTGAATTGCACTTTATTTGTACAAATACTATTCCTCTAGGTTTTGGATTCCTTAACTTGAATTAATTACTCTTTATATTATGGGAAAGACGATGCCTACTTTGTATCTGATTGCATAGCACGAATTCATAGAATCATATAGAATCATAGAATGGTTTAGGTTGGTTTAAATTATGTTGTTGAGACTCTAGTAATGAATATATTTGTTTGTTTTGCGGGTTTTTTTTGTCGTTTTGGTTTGGGTTTTTTTAATATTTGAGCAGAGAAATGAGTACTTCTGTCAGTCCTGAAATCTAAAAAGTAAAACTAGAGTAGATTTGCTAGTCCAGAGCAAGCCAAGCTATTGGTATCCTTGTCAGATGTCAATTGAACCTGTTCCAAAAACTTCAAATATTTCTCAAGCTCTTCAGAGCAATCTATTGCAGTGCTTTGGTATTTGTAGTGTTGACATCTTTCTTCTGTGCTACTTAGCAGGAATCTTCTGTGCTGCAGTTCATGCACAGTTTCTTTTTCTGTCCTCTACAGAGCGGCTGAAGGGGTTCATTTTCTTGGTGGTTGTGGTCTGATATGTATTTGAATAAGTTTTGCAGTCTTCGCTACTTAAAAGAATTTAAGACTACCCTTTGGTTTGTATTGTTGAGTGGGATGTCATATAAGATGAAGTATCCCTTAGGCCACTTCTGGTCAGCTGTCCTGGCTGTGTGTACCCCTACCAGATTTTGCCTACGCCAAGCCTAACCACTGCGGCGGGGCAGAGTAAGAAACAGAAAACCTTGATGCTGTGTAAGCAGTGCTCTCAGCAGTTGCTAAAATGCTGGTGTGTTATGAACGCTGTTTTAGTCACAGATCCAAAACACAGCACTATAGAGGCTGCTGTAAAGAAAACTGACTCTGTCCTAGCTAGACACAGTAGTGGTGGACCAAGAGCTTCCGCTGACATGTTAGTGCTATATGAACAGAAAGATTGCTTCACATGTCTTTCAGGCCCATACTCAGTTCATGCATCCCCACTCACTAACCTTTTTTTATAGCAGCATGACATAGTTCAGCTTCTCATACTATGTAATCTCCCCTTACTCTTCCAAAATTGTCCTAAATGCAAAATGATAGACAACCACTGAGGCATTCTTTCGGTGGTAAAGCCTTCTACTTTTGAAATATTTAGTATTTTTTGTAAAAATATGGTAAGAGTAACAAACAGCTTCCACTGACTTCAGTCTGGTTTGTTGCTACCTGATTCTAACATTAGCACCTCTCTCTCTGTCAAAAAGTATGGGCTAGTGAACGAGTTGTCCAGTACCTAATGCATCTCCGATTAAAAGGAGGAAAATGAGCATAAAGTTGTCAAAAAAGTTGAAATTCCTTCTGATGATACGAGTGAGTGATTGTGCGCTTGTACTAACTTTTTGATACTGATGGAAAAGCTTTAGGGATACAATCCTTTTTAGTGACAGGCAAATGCATTCCTTAAATGGTACTTTCAACACTAAAAGAGGTGACATGATCTAGAATAGTTACAGCTGAAGGAGCAAAGTCTTACTCTTTGAGACAATAAAAGTGAGGAGAAATACTAGGCATGGTAGGTGAAAGATGCCACTTTGTGGTTAAGAGACCAGTTTCATTTTAATGCCGATTCTGGATTATTCAGTATGAAAAAAAATAAATAGAAGGGAATAAGGAAAAAATTGTGTAGAATGGGCAATGTTTGAGGAAAGAACAAGAAGTTTGCAAAACAAAGGCCAATCTAGCAAGCCTTCAGTACTTGACTTCAGGACTAGAAAGAAACGATAATTTGATGGCTACCTGAAGATGAAAAAACACAATAGTAGAAACATTTGATTAAATTTTAAGCAGAATAAATCTGTGGCCCTGTGTCTACAAGTGTTATCTTATGTGGTGGTAATAGAGAACGTTTTTACTGGCTTCTTTGGGAAACCAAGGGCTAAGAAAGTAATACTACTGAATTTTTGCGTTGATGGAAATACACTGGATCGAAAAAGCTGTGGCAAGTCTCTGAATTTGCATCTGGATTATTTTATCAGTTTATTTCAAATGTGTTTATCTTAAAAGTGTTGAAGCAGACCCATTTTCTCTACTTGTGTAGGTTTCAGATAAATTGTCAAAATACCTTTTACACATTTAAATCGAGACTCTTAAGTGCTCGTCTTTTCCAAAAGTTCTATTATATAGAGCTACTGGGGTCAAAGGGATGCTCTTGAATTTTATTGAGGTTTTTGGGGGATAAGGGGGGAAAAAAAAGCTTTGGGGTTTGTGGGGGAAAGGAACATGCTTTTAATTACTCAGCAGCATTTTTAGTCCATGCTGATAAATCACTGATGACTATGATGTATCATGCATGGGTTGTGTAGTTAACCATTACAGTGCTAGGATACCTGTAGAAATCTTTGAAGTCAAACGTGTCTGTACAAGGTACAGCATCAGCAGTGTTGGGAGAGCAGGTGGTCTTACCTGACAGAAGGATATAGCTCCAAAGCAAAATGATAAACGTAGATTCTGACTAGCCAGCAGCAGAGTTATGCAAACAAAAGTTTACATAAATACAGCTTCAGAAATATTTAAGAATTTTGTGCATCTATTAGGCCTCTTTCTCTACTCTGTATTTAACAAAGTCTTACAGAATGATAAAACCAATGTTTAAGATTAATTTTTAATTCAATTATGAGCTTTCTGTCCTTCTTACCCATCAACAGGAAATATTCCCCAAAAAGGGTGCTTTGGAGAAAGATACTGTTTCTGTAAGGCACATGCATATGTACATATGGAAATAAGTAGATGTCTAGAACATTCCCAGGTAACAACTGGTGTCTTGTTTCCCCTTTCCCCTTGCAAAAGAGGGATTTTACTGTCCTGAGATCATGTCGTTGAGTAATAAAGCCTTGGGCTGCTGCGTTTGTGCCTGTGTTGTGTTGCTTAGTGGTTGCTATACAAAACAAAGTAATAATGGAAGTGTATTTCTGGGTGTTGAATGAAGTAATGGAAGTGTGATTGCCAGAAAAAGGGACAACAAAGAAGTGACGCAGTGTCCAGCTTAAACTGTTCTTTCACTCATTTAAGAGAAATGGTTAGATCTCACTTTGAGATCTCTGTCCAGAGTGGAATTAGGAAGAATATCCATTTGTCCTGGCCAAACAAGTTTTGCCATTTAAATGTTTTGCCTGTTTGTTTTTTTCTCAATGCAGAGCTGGTTTTCAAACTTTGCATCTAAGACAAAAGTATTCATGGCAAAAAATGAAGATTGCTCAGGGTTTAGAAATAGTTGTCCTGGATTGTTCATGGAAACCCTCAAATCACTTGAATCCTGTAGTCCTCTGTAGCCAACCTCAGTATGTGGAAGCATTCTTTCTCATAAACATGCATAGCTACACCAGAATCTTATTTTAGTTAGTTATTTTAAAACATGCTTTCATGCCTGTTTTTAGAGTTTAAAAGTGGGGTAAACTCATCTCCTTTAGTTCTTTAGGATGTCTGTTTGTATCAGGAATTGCAGAAGTAGTAAGGGAAGCTTCCCAGGCAGTTCTAAAAATCTCCTAAGGTAATTCTTCATGGAAAATATTAAAATTTCACAAGTGTTCTGAATTAAATGACTCTGCTTTGTAAAAAAGCAAGGTTATAGCAGTCACTTTTTTTTTCTGAGCTGCTCACACTGCTTTTTCAAGATGTTTTTAGTTTATAAAAGATGGATTAATTCTTATATCTTTTGGTAGACATCAGTAAGTCTCACAACTGCACCACTTGTGTCCTACAAGTCTAATGAAACTCTATAGTGAGTGCTTTTTGCCTATTTTAATTATTCTTGAGACATTGTTAGCTATACAGGTTACTGTATTGTGGCAATACAAAGGGGTGGTGTTACCTCAGTTGGCACACAGATCTGCTTTGTAAAGCACAAGCTGATGGCCAGAGAAGTCTTGTGGTTGTAGTCATAGCCATTCAGTGTACAAAATACTTTGCATTTCATGCACATGTAGTACTGAAACACAGCAGCGCGTGACTGTCTCCTGTGTTGTACCAGAAACAGTTAAATGGCCAGAGGATACGTTTTTCCCACTAGATTTTTTTCATCTCTAGTTGAAAATGCATGTTTCTCTGTCAGGAGCGACAAGACACGCCTCTAGACTTTGTTTTGCTCAGTTTGACACTGTTTCTGACCCAGCTTTATCTTACCTTGCATCATAAATGGCTGTTGTAGATGTTTGCAAGCTAATGATGGAGTCTTCAGCAGTTTCTTTAAATGAACAAGTCAGCTTCTGCCATTAATGTTATTTAAGTTAGTTCCCATGTTTAAACCTGATTTCCATCACGGTGTAATGCCATAGTTAATTTGTAGCTGTAGCAGTACATTGACTTGGATCTTAAGACAGTTTGTTGTGTTTTTCAGGGTTATAACTTGTAATTTACATCTTGGATAGCAATGTTTAGCAGTGAAGAATATCCTCTTGGTTCTTTATCTTGTGCAAGGCTGTTCAGGGATGTTCATACCCTGCTTGCACAACAGAGAATTGATTCTTGAGAGTGAGAAAGATGTAGGTTCTCTCTTTGGAGTTTCTGCGGAGGCTTCTAAGAATTCAGTGTGGCCAGAGAGATAAATCCTCATGTTTGATATGAAATGAGATCGGGTGAGAAGAGTTTCGGAATCACTGGGAGGATAGAAGGATTATTGGAGGGGAAGGTTAAGCACGGAGTTATAATTTGACTGCAGTGCAAGGTCAGTTATACCAGTCTCTTCAGCAGTATCGTATTTATTTATACAGGGTTTTTTGTTGTTGATTTCTTTTTAGCCTCCATCTAAAGCTGTCAAAACATAACCGAATTTTTGTGCTTCTTTCCTCAGTGATTTCTAAGCTGTATTGCTAGTACTTTTCTTTCTTTACCATTCTGCTTTGTTGGTTGTTTGTTTTTTTTTTTTTAAATCTTGACGATGTTTTGGAGATGATTGCTA